CGATAGCAAAACGGGCGGTGAGCTTGTATCTGAAAAAAAATCAATTAACACATTCTACAAAGCGAAAAAATGACCGAGTAATAGCAAAAAATCAACATATGTTTGTAACATTTCCAAGCCTACAAGAGAATCTTCAAGAAATGGAGTAGACTGAAAACTTTGAGGTGCAAAAATTGTAAGACCATGGAAATCCTCTTTTCTAGATTCGCCATAAATGTCAAAGTCGTGAGAAAAAGAAGTTTACTTCTTTTCACATTTTCTTTTTTTCAGAGATTTCTTCACAAATTTTCTTCCCACTAAACCAAAGAGCCTCACCTTTCTTTCTCTTCTTTTCTGGTGGCATCGCTAGCGATGTGCCTGCTAGCGCTACTGCAGCAGCAGCTTGTTGAGCTTTCTTGAATTGAAGCACCACTACCTTCGAAAACCTGCCAAAATACAAATTAAATACACATCACTTCAAAACCGAAGAGATCAAGTTTAATGGAATACTAGGCCGTGTTCAGTCAGCGTTTCAGGAAAATTTGAGGAAGGGACAGGGAAGATACTGATCAGGAGAATCGTGGAAATTGAGAGACTGTAAGCGTATCAAAAAAAAAAACTCGGAAAAGGAGGAACTGAAAGGTACGTACTGATCAGTATAGTCGCAGTGTTGGAAAAACTGCGAAAAGGAAGCCACAGAATGGATGGACTTGATCGTCGTCAAGGAACCCGCGGATTGACAAAACGGCAAAGTGTTTCTGAGAGGAGACGAAACACATGGAGCCTTTTTTTATGAATTAACCTCAAGTATGTAGTTCCTCCCAGAACCAATTTTACTGACGTAGAGAGGTTTCCCAAAACACCGAGCATGAACACGGCCATGGAAAAACACTTCAATTCAACTAACCTCATCAGCAGTTAGAAACAGTTGTACTGTAAACATTTTTTTATGAGCTGGTCCACTCTCATCCATAAGTTTGTATTCGTGCTTCAACTGTAATTTGCTACATTAATCCCACATCCACTTGAATCACCACGAACCACTACATTACTCTACCCCTCTAAAACCCTATAACTATGAGACCAAAAAATCAACGGATTGATGAAATATCGGTAAGACAGTCCAAAAAAGTAGTCAACTTTTGGTTCCACTCATCTACGTCGAAGAATTCCAAACTTTCCAGAGGATAAAAGGTGCCACCAAGTTACTTCTTTAACACATTGAAGACAGCCCCTTGCGCGTGTGCATCAATTGTTTTTTTAGAATCGTCACTATTCCTTCAAAAATCCACTACTGGTATGTGACGTACAATCACAATCACGACAGTGTGACGTGCATGCGCGCCACGCTACCGTGGTCGTGTTAGAATTCCGGTTTTCGATTGTGCTAGGCCGATGTCCATACTTGCGAATCGATGGGATCCGAGCGTTGCGCCAGCGAATCGAACGTTGCACCAGCGAATCGAACTTTGCGCCAGCGAGTCGAACTAGGTACCAGCGACTCAATAGTGGCGGGACCCAACGTTTAAAGGAAGCCCGCCACTTTCAAACAGTGTCACGTGACAGTGGACGCTGTTTGAAAGTGGCGGGACTTTGCAGTGGACACTGTTTGAAAGTGGCGGGCTTCCTTTAAACGTTGGGTCCCGCCACTATTGAGTCGCTGGTACCTAGTTCGACTCGCTGGTACATCGTTCGACTCGCTGGCGCAAAGTTCGATTCGCTGGTGCAACGTTCGATTCGCTGGCGCAACGCTCGGATCCAGCGATTCGCTAGCGAATCGCTCGATTCGCAAACTATGACATCGGCCTCAAAATTCCAGTTTCTTTGGGAGTAAATGCTTGATACCAATAATACTGTTCCGATCTTCTATTGAAGAAGTAGAAAAATCGGATAATTGCTCCCATCTATCTACCAATGCAGCCAGGATAATTTTAAATGAAATTTTAAAAAAATATCGAGTAAAACACGCCGTCAGTGTGAGACCCACCTTGTGAAAGCGAGCAAGCTCCGCTATGCGGCACATTGGTGTTTTCTCTTTATCTTCCTGATTACTGTAGTTATAGACATTTCGTGAAGAAACATCACTGCTCGTCTGATGCTGTCCGCACCATGGCTGAGGGTGAATGGCACGAGAAGGCACCTTCAAATGAAGTAATGACTGTAAAACCGACTAATATACAATTACCATTAAACACAACACAAAAATGATGGATGGAGATTTCGAAGTCGATGTCTCGCCGAAGCTGCTAGAACTACTGGCATATACAATGCAACTGCTCTTCCCCTTGTTACCAATCCTGGTAAACCAGTGGTTTAGTGTTTGTACTGGTACTGCTATTTGCTATCTGTTTTGTTTGTTTGTTATTGGTTTTCTCCCGTGGAATAGATTCCAACGCTGAATCAACACTCATCGTTCAGTCTATTGAAACCGAAGCAGAATCCAACTTATATTGGTTCAAGAACCGAAAACAGCACCAAAGCGCACGACGGCAGCTGTTGAGCTCCGAGCATTGAACAAGCCTAATCTGGCTGGCAATGTTTTCATCCTTTCAAGAGCGCTTCCCAGGTGAAAGCAAGATTTACACCGCAAGCTGCACTGCAAGCCCCTCTTACAATACTAGCCGAGGCTGCACCAGTACTGTCGATTATGAGCCAAAACAATAACAGACGAGTAAGAAGAGAAAGAGGAATAATTCCCTAATACCCTTCTTTCGTGTCGCGAACGTAACGATCGCGCATTGGATGCATATCGATCGCCAGACGTGTCCGAGAATTGGACGATCGATACGCATCCAATACGGCGCGATCTTTACGACCAGACGACGGTCTTTGAATGCGCCCTAAGGGGCATGACTATGACCCAGTGGTAACTGATGTAGCTCACTTAAAAATGATTAACTAAAAAGTGCTTATTTATTATTTTACGAATCAAAAAAACGCTTCACGGTGGAATGCATTAGGCTGGTGTCAGAGTCCGCGATCCGTCGCAGGTTTCGCTGATTTTCGCGATTTGCGCGAAACCTGCGACGGATCGCAAAAATTGCAAGTGCCCATTTGAACATTTGAAACACTGAATATGAAACAAGTGGAATCATGAGCAGTCGTCATTCAGCCATCACTATCAAGCAGAAGTGGCGGCAGGATTGGAGAACACCTTGCAGTATTGATCGGGCACTTGTGATTTCCGTGACCCGTCGCGTGAATCGCGCAAATCGCGAAAATCAGCGAAACCTGCGACGGATCGCGGATTCGACACACCCTAGCCTGATTGTCAGAGTCCGCGATCGTCGCAGGTGTTGTGGCCAATTTGAGTCGCGATTTTCCGCGATTTAGGCGATTTCACGCGACAGGCGACGGAATCACAATGGCGCGTCAAATAATATTGCAAGGTGGTTTCGTCCCAGATCCTGTCGCACCTTGCTGCTTGATAGTGCGGCGACGCCCGGAGAGGTCAATGGTTAATGGGCGACTGTTCATGATTCCGCGTTGTGATGATTCAGGTTCTCAACGTGTTTTCCGCAGTTGCAATTTTTTGCGGACCCGGCGCGTGGTGATATCACGGCAAATCTGCTGATAAATCAGCGAAACTCGTCGACGGATCGCCGCGTCTGACACCAGCCTTATTGAAAGGGAAAGGATTTTTTAGAATGAAATCAATTGCCTCATCGAAATGAACAGCTGTGGCATGAAAATGAGCTTTTAATCGCTTTGCGGCAAATTCGATGTTATAAACCCTAGCTTAAGCGTGGCTCTCAACCGACGGGTGGTTCAATCCTCCTGGGAATTTCGAGAAAGGGGGCATCCTATTCTCAATATACTTGGTGATTGCGAAGAATTTACGTGATGACTCACCAAACCGATTCACCCGCAACCACCGCCCTTTCCTTGTTACCTTATCTCTAATTCGTTTCGCACGATGACATTAGTCTCTATATTGAGAGCTAAGAAATTCAAAGCACTCCTGGAAAGCCTCCATAGTTCAGTCCTTTCTGGTACCCGAAGGGCTCCCAAAATAAGTAAATACTAACTCATATTTGGAGATTAAGAAATTTCAATGAATTAGTGTATTATATAATAGAAAATATTGAACTTCCCAATAAGGCGCCAAATTCTTACTGGTCAGATCTCACTCCAAAGGCGACTGCATGGCTAGCTCCTGTTTTCTGAACAGGCCGTTGAGTTAGATGGAGAACTCTTAGTTTTAAAAGGGAACTGAACCCGGATCTCGGAGCTTCTTAGCAGGTGCACCACCCATTACACCACAGAGCACGTGGTACCTCTCTCCAAGTTTCCATGGTATTTTTGGTCTATTCTCGTTTTTTTTTTCAAACAAATGACTACTCTGATTGCAACATAAATCGATAACTATAAAACAGCAAAATAAAACTCACACATGCTGCATCTGCTTGCGGAGAGTTGATGGAATTCACGGCCGCTTTAGGATCGTCTTCGGGGCGCGGTGATGTGTAGAGGTTCTCCTTGACACAAGGCGAAAATCCGACCATAGTTAGTACACAGGTAATGATTATATCATTAATTATGTTAGTACCCCATTCACCGGCTCGAAGAATTCGGCAACTGCAAACAGCTTTGTGAACGCATGAATATATCGATACGTATTCAATCGGATGACGTCATTCAAAAGTTATGCTCGGAACACTCGTATGCATGACTGGAATTTTCTTAGCAAAACAGAATCAAACGAAATACGGTGAATACCAGCAATGCGTGAAATGATCACGGGTTCGAATTATAGGATTGCTCACGATCCCAGTCGACTAGTCCAGTAAAAGCTAGGTGTCCAGAAATAAGACACGCGCGACCTTTCACCCAATTCTGATTCAAATTCACGCGCCAAATGCAGATGCGCGTAACACGCATCGCACGTGTGTCGTACTATAAGGCCGCGTTCACAGTTCGCGACTCGGGAGATTGGGATAGTAATAGAGTAGGATATTGCGCTGACAAGATTAGATACGTATCGATGGAGAACAGTAAATTAGGTC